TTGTTGGAAAGGTGAGCATCACAGAATGCCAGGTTATTAGAACAAAGTGTTCCTGTGTTGAGGGAGGGCTTGAGTAGAGGTCCAATGTCATTCTGCTTCCTTAATGCTTAACATATAAGTATATGTACATAGACCTATATCCATATCATTATATATTAATATATTTACATATGTACATGCCCACATTTATACTGTGATAAATGTCTTTTGCTTGAGGGTGTTTTTTCTGACCCTCTGCTGTACCAATCATGATGTCCTTTAGTAGCAATTGGCCTTTCCAGATGACAGTCAACATCAGCAAGTTATCATCTCACCATTCCACTTGCCAAGGAGTGTTCTGGTTTTATTTTTTCTAAGATTGATTTGTACATTCTTTTGGGAGCTCATGTAGGTCTATTATCCTCATTTTACAGACGAGGACACTGAGGATCAGAAACACAGCTTGGAAGTAGCAGAGCTCAGGAGGGAGCTGAACTCTTTAGCCTATCAGCTTCAGAAAATCTAGCAAAACCAGCTCTGTGACACAAATAGGACTCCCTATCCTTAAGAGTGAGGTGAGGCCAAGTAGAAGCAGATGGCGAGCCACATTCGTTCTTGTGAATCTTTGCTTTTGAACCAGGTGGTACAGAAAGTCAGGCGTGGCTCTCTTCCAGCACATCTCCCAGGATGGGGCTGGGGAAACAGGTACCTGACTTGAAAATGTCACAGTATTGTCCACTAGATGCCTCATTGATTTTGTGCATTGGCATTCCTTACCATTTAATAAGTGAGGGAAGTGATGCTTAGAGAGATTACAGACAGTCATTGACAGGACTCCCTGGAATAGGAAGGCCTGACATTTTGGGCACTTTTAATATAGTTTGGTTGTAAGCTACTCAGTGTTTCGAGATGGTATACTTGTATACTCACTGCAGGTTCAATGACTGCTATAACGGGTTAAGATGTGGAATCAGACGCTGCCAAAGGGAGCTTATGACTTAGCTGTCAACTACAATCAATGAAAGTCATTAACTGCCACGGTTTCTCAGTATGGCCTCCATGTTCTGGATCATCTGACTGTCCTTCCCAATCCAGCCACCTCTCATGGTGTGTGCCTTCTTCACCTTCTGCCTGGCTCTGCTGTGACTCCTCTGCCCCCATTTCTGCACCCACAGCACTTCCCTCAACCTCCCACCATGGGAAACATTTCTGTATTCGGTATTAGATCCAACTTTGGCTCCACCCTGCTAAGCCTCTCCTAAGACTGCCCCTCCCCCACCCATACCACGATGACGTCTCTCTTTTGAATCGTTACTATATCTTGAGCAGATCCTGAAGGCACTCTCATGGAACGTGAGAGACCACACATAGTAACAATAATACTGACTTACATTTATGGAATACTTGACAGGGACTAAACACATAATACTGAACACTGCATGCTGCATATATCATATACATTCTTACAGTTACCTATTTTTTATTGAATACTTTTATTGGGGGCTCTTACATCTCTTATCACAATCCATACGCTCATCCAGTGTGTCAAGCACACTTGCACATATGCCGCCATCATCATTTTCAAAGCATTCTCTTCCCACTTGAGCCCCTGATATCAGCTCCCCATATAGTTACCTCTTGAAGTAAGAACTAGTCTTGTCAACATACAGATAAAGACAATGAGACTTGCGAAAAAATAAATGCATTCCCCAAGTACCAGCCAGCCAGTTGCTATAGGGCAACCCCATGTTTGTCACTGGAGAACTGTGGTCCGTAGAATTTTCAATAAATTGCTTTGGAAGTAGATTCTCACAGCTTTCTCCCCAGGTGCCCCTGAGTAGATGCAAGCCTCCAACCCTTGGGCTAACAGCTAAGTGCATTAATCACTTGTGCCACCCAGGATCTGAAGTCTACAGGGCCAGAATTTACCTTCATGACAACTGTAAATTTCAGAGGGCAAGGGCTATCTTACTTGCATCAGGACTCACCTGGGCTATACCAACAGTCCAGGTCAGTTTCCCATTCTTGTCCTTGGAACTTGGCCAGGGTGTGGGGATAGGGAGTGATTTGCTGCATTAGAACGACTCAAACACACATTGGAAGGGAAGCCGAGAAGTTAATGCTAATAGGAGAATGGTCTTCTCCTATTTGTATCTTTAGCACCAGCACCTCCAGGTATCTAGTAAGCAGTCAGTAATTATTTGACTAAGGATGAGCATCTTCCTATTGCTCTTTGAAACTCATTGCCATTGAGTAGACTGCAGAGAGCCTCAGCATTCTCCCCGCGTGACCTTGTGGTCAGCAGTCCAGTCCTTACCTGGGAGTGCCGGCCAGGCTCCTCTGTTGCTCTTTGAACTCACTGCAAGGGAGTTCATTCCGACTCACAGCCGTCCTGTAAACAGAATAGCACTGCCGCCATGGGTTTCTGAGATGAAATCTTTCCCAGAACAGAAAGCCTCACCTTTCTTGCTGACTCGTTAACAGGCAGCCACAGTACCTGCTACACCAGCAGGTCTCCTCCCTCTTCTCGTTGCCATTCCTAGTTCAGAGCAGAGTGAGATCATGGCGACTGTGGAAGGTAGGAGAGGCCTCAAGGGGGACAGCCGAGGCCTTGGGGTGAGCACAGGGTGGGAGAAGGAAGGAATCCAGTTGTGCTAAACATGGGCGTAGGCTGATGTACTTGTAATACTTAGTGAACTTGTGGTGGTTACACGTTGGGCTGCTAACTGGAAAGTCTGTACTTTGAAACCACTAGCGATTCCCTGGGTGAATGATGGGCTTTCTACTCTCACGAAGAGTTACAGTCTCAGAAACTCACTGGGGCAGTCTGCGCTGTCTTATAGGGTCCCAATGAGTCCATTTGATGCCAATAATTTTGATTTGGTTTTTGGTTTCTGTAATGTCTAATCTCGTCTCCAAATTCCCGGACTGGAAAAGGATGGTCTTCACTAAGCCAGCGCCTAGAACCTGAGAAAAGGACCTGTGATACCGGCCTCACAGCTCACGGCTCACGGACCCCGAGTCCAAAGGGGTGGCAACCCCTCTGATGCTCTCATGACTCCCGGGCGCTGTTCTGTTATTACTAGTGTTTGGACTGACACCACTGGGGTTTCCGTTCCAGGTTAACATGTTTGTTGAGGGATTCCACGATGCCATCCTCCTCTACGTCTTGGCTTTACATGAAGTGCTCAGAGCAGGCTACAGCAAGAAGGATGGCGGGAAGATAATCCAGCAGACATGGAACAGAACCTTTGAAGGTGAGCATTAGAATTCTGCCTGTAAGGCACTCGTACTCCGCTGCCAACTGAGTTGCTTCTTCTCAGGTGCTGATTTTTTCTGCTGCTGCTGCTGTACAGGAAGGAAATGAGCCTCGATGGGAACATGTTTGGAACAGCCTCAGTAAAATAGAAAATGTCCTGTTCTCTTTCTGATGCTTCATGAAATCAAATTATGACAAGCTTAATTCAAAACAGAATCATCCATTTACAAAGAGCCCTGTGATAAGCCTTAAAACAAGTAGTAATTCCAGATTGACCTTCCTGTGTTCCGACTGTGTTGATCATTGTCAAACTCAGGAAATATTAGCTGTCATGGTAAACCTACGTGATTAGAAACCTGTACTTTTGATTTTGTTTTTAAAATAGTGCATTTTAGCTGTTTTCTGAAATACAGAAAGGTATAAGAGCAATTTAGCACATAATCTCATCACTCAGGCAACCTCTGTTGACATTTAAAAATTGCCCCCAATAAGATTATTCTTAGCTAGAAAATGTAAACAGTACAAAAAATAAAGAAAATGAAAAGAGAAAGCTTTCCTTCTCACCCTATTCCCTTCTCTCTAACATAATCACTATGAGTAGTTTCCTATGATTCTGTCTAAAAATATTTATGGCTTATGCCAGCTTATATGATTTTTATATATTATCAAAAAAAATTTACACAAGAGGGACTGTCATAGATTTAAATGAGCCTCCCTCCACCCCTAATATGTGTCAACTTGATTGAGACATGATTCTCAGAATGTTGGCAGTTATGTAATGATGTAACTTGACAGTTGTGCAATGATGTAATCACCCTGAACAATCAATTGTTAGGGAATTGAGGTGGGATATGGATACCCTCACTCAGGGCACAGTTCTGATTTAATATTAGGGGAGCTTCCTTGAAGAGTGGCCTACATCACCTTTTATCTTCCAAGAGATAACAGAAGAAGTAAGCAAGCAGAGAGTGTGAAACCTACTACCATCAAGAAAGAAGAGCTATGAGTGGACCCAGGGTCTCTGCACTAAGAAGCTCTTATACCCATGGGATGCTCATTCCCAAGACACATGGAGATCTCCAAGGGATACAGAGTTCACAGAGGTCAATAGGAGACAAATCCTTGTAGTATTTCCCAAGTGAGTGATGCAGCCCTCTTGGGGGTGGGGTGGGGGGCACCAGGGCTACCTAAAAGGATGATGGGGACTCAAAAGCAGAGAGGTCCACTTTACCACTTGTCTGTCCGTTTGTTGTACCATGATGGCTTGTGTGTTGCTGGGTACTGGGAGCTATGTCACTGGTATTTCAAATACCAGCAGAGTCACCCAAAGTGAACAGGCTCAGCAGAGCTTCCAGACGAAGAACACCAAACCACAAGGAACAAATAGGCCGTCCACTTCTGAGGAACTAGCCACAGAAAACCTACAGGTAGCATTGAAACGTGATCATGTGCTGCGAGTCTGATCGTGAGGAGGCCTGAGGATGGGGCAGGGGTCCTTCTGTAGCACACAGGGTTGCTCTCAGTTGGAGCGGCCTCGATGACACCTCACCACAGCAACAGCTTATCCTGGATTGTGCGCTATCGTACAAACGTTTGTAAGTTGCCTGTGAGGCACTGAGTAATTTCCCCCCCGCAAATCGGTGTGACTTCAGACTTTTAGCCTTCTGAATTGTGAAGAAATGGATTTCCTTGTGGAGAATGATCAAGCAGTCTGCTTCCACAAAGATTTACAACCTTGGAAACGTCATGGGGCAGTTCTACTCTGCCCCGCGGTGTCCCTCTGAGTCAAGTTGACTCCGGACAATGGGTTTGGTGTTTTTGGTCTAGGGAGAGAAAAGAGGGCAGTGTTTATGACAGGATTCTTGTTTTCCATGCAGTAGACCTAGGTGCAATCCCCAGCCAATGCAGCTCCTGTGTAGCTGCTTCCCACCTGTCAGTGGAAGCTTGCATGCTACTAGGATGCTGTGCAGGTTTCAGCATCACTTCCAAAATCAGACAGACTTGGAAGAAAGACCTGGCAATCTACTTCCAAATATCAACCAGAGAAAATACTGTGGATCACAATGGTAGGGCACTATCGTGGATACTGTGAATGGGTAGCTGACTGGGTGGCACCAACGATATGCCAGTGTCTTAGTTCTTCGAGCTGCTGTAAGAGCAACACCACGGGGTATGGCTATAGCAAACAGACACTTGCTTTCTCACAGTTTAGGAGGTAAGTGCCTCTCCTAGGGAAGTGCCTTCTCTCTCTGTGGTCCCCAGAGGAAGGCCTTTATCTCTTTGAGCTTACGTTCCTGGATGATCTTCATGTGGCTTGGCATCTCTCTTCCCCCATTACTGATTTTTTTCTCTTGCTTGTTTAATCTCTTTTGTACCTCAAAGAGATGGATTTAAGAAACTTAAATCCCCCTGCCATCGAGTTCATTCACCCTGACTCAAAGTGATCCTATATAGGCTTTCCAGCGGCGCCAGCAGGCCTCCTGCACACCTTATGTTCCACAAACAAACTCAAACTCACTGCCACTGAGTTCATTCCACCTCACAGTGACCCTGTAGGACAGAGGAGAATCGCCTTTGGGTTTCCAAGACTCTCCATCTTTATGGGAGCTGGAAGCCTCATGGTTCTCCTTTGGAGTCGCTGGTGAGTTTGAAATGCTGAAATTGCAGCTAATAGCCCAGTTTGGAACGCACGCTATGGCCAGAGCCTTCTCATCCTCTCGAATTAACAACAAAGACAACGCATTCCCGAATGGGATGACAATCAGGAGCACGGAGGTTCAGAATCTATAACATGAATTCTGGGGGGACACAATTCAATCTGTGACAAACAGGGAGATAGTGATAAGAGGGATTGAGCAGAATTGCTATTGGATACAGGGTGGCCAGGGAGTTCCTTTCTGATAAATGACAGCTGAGCAGAGACCTGAAAGAAGTGAGGGGGGGTAAATACTGGGTATGCTTAGGGGAGAGTAGTATGAAGGAGTAGCAAAGGCAGAGACTCTGATCGTATTTTCTGGGGGTTTATTGGGCATCCCCGGAGGAGCAAGGAAGCCTGCGTAGCTTGAATCGAGTGTGTGAGGGACAGTGTGATGGGAGATTTCGGATTGGTGGATTGGAAGTCTTGGTGAGAATTTGGGATTTTACCAAGTGAGATAGAAAGTCACTAGAGGGTTTGGGCTTGAAAAGGGGTCCTTGTGGTTGCTATGTCATGGGCATCATTTAAAAACCACTGACACAGAGAACCAGTCACTGGACCGGGGGTTGAGCATTCTGCACACTAGTCATGGACCATTAACTTCTATTCTTCTGGCTATTAGTTAGTTCTTCATCTGAGCGTTCTGAAGGTTGGGCAAACTGATAGCTGACAAGAGCTCTTTCAGTCCTGCATCACTCTAGCCCTTCCCTTGAACCTTTGAAATAGTTCATGTTTATATTTGTAAGTCAGCTTTTGAAATTCCCCAGTGACTGGGATCGGTGTTGCAAGTCTAAATTTCAGACTACTTTTTTTGCTAATTGAGACTCCTGTCCACTCCGTTGCCCTAGTCTGGCCCCAGTTATTAGAATGGGCAGTACAGAGTCCGGCTAGCATTCTCTGGGCAGTAGCTATAGTGCCAACTGCTCGATTTCACTTCTCCTGGGGTAGTTTTAGTGGGTGCCATGGCTCACTCAAGGTCAGGGTGACATCTTTTTCCAGGTAGGACACAGATAATTAAACGCCCAGGATTAGATTGCCCACCTCTGACGGATTCAGCCGAGGAGCTGGGATCAAAGAGAATCATTCAGGGGCATATTAGGACAGGGTCACATTTCCCAGAAGTGGTACACAATACTCTGAGAAATTGGCTTGCGTGGACACAACCTTGGTCGGCCACAGCCCATTCTCAGCTATTACTCACTACCTGGTGTGGTCATTTGTTCTTGGTCTTTTGACAGAAGAACAGGAGCCAGAGTTGGGGGAGCTGGAGGGCACTACTAAGAGAGGCTGTTAAGGGAGGGCAGGTGCCTGCATTGGCTGGAACGCAGCCTTGAGGTCGTCTTGACACTTCCATGTTGGGGACAGGTCTACATAGGCAAGCTAAACCCAGTCCTGAAACCAGTCAATGGGATAAGCCAGTCTACAATTAGGATCTCGTGTGTTCAAAGGTACAGATAATTGAAGCCAAGGCCAGTCTGGGGTTTGAATTGTTTGGAGAGCTAAATTGATCTGCTAACCGATGCCTCATGTGAGGAGGGGCTCAGAGGAACCCCAGGGCCTCTGTATAAAAAGTAGCTCAAACCTTCCACACATTCAAACCAAGTAACCTGTAAGGGACTGCTGGGTTGTCAGGGGAAAAATACTCTGGATGTTTTTGGACAAATTTGGATTTTATTGCTGTGAAACCATTGACCAGCGATCAAAGCTTTCAATAAATGGCCTGGGAAGAAGCTGAATTCTCTCTCTGTTTGAGAGACAATGTCAACGTGACAAGGTAAAAAAAAAAAAGGCAACTCAAACCTTGAGGCCCATAGAAAAGAGGGTGGAAAGCCTCGTAGCATACTAAGTAATAAGGGCAATTTATATGGGAAAATTCTGCTGTGGGCTTGATTATCTCACCTTACGTTCAGTACTCACAGGTGAAGTCTCACGTTGCTCTTCGGCCACCCTTACGGTTCTCACCCCACTTCTTAGCAGAATTGTAATAGTTTAAAGATATAACAAGGTCTTGGATTACTAGGGCTACCTCCTTTTATAAAATACTCTACAAATCACTTTGCAGGACACGCCGTTGTCATCACGTCTGGTAGAATGGCAAGTGGTTGTTTGGAGGTAAAATGTATTTAAAAAAGAAAGCCATTTATCCCCTACAGTTTTGAGCTATGTGTGCCTTTTGTAACCAGTCTAATACTAAGAAACAAAAACAGGTCGAGATGGAGGGGAGCACCATTCCCTTTCTGGCAAAGCAGACCAAAGTCTGGAAAATCCAGCGGGCCCTCAAACCACAGCCCAAAGGACAGCAAACCCACACACCTGCCTTCTCCACACCAGAGGATGGAACTTTCCCTTGGGATCCTTGTTCCCAGACATCCATTTTACTAGAGGAGTCTGGGCTTCCTGAGAGAACCAAATGAATTGGAACAGCAATTACGGGTTGCCCTGAACCCCGCCGCAGCTTAAGACGAGAAAACAAACAGCAGTCCTTAACAGGCGGGCGTGGTGGCTGATGGGCACATTCTCTTATTTCGTGCACGAAAACGACTTTATAGACATCTGTCATGTCAGCGAATGATGCACACTTGCTTATCTTGATTAGGCTTTCTAAACTTTCAAATAAGTTCTCGTCCTTTCTGTAGACACTTGGCCCTTCTACGCTCCAACCTGCTCCAGCTTTGCGTCTCAGTGTTCCTTCCTGCACATATGGGTTTGTCTCCCCAGAAATCTCACTTTCCCTCGTACTCCTTTTGGCCTGTGGGCCATCCTAAATGTTAACTGGTAGTTGTCGTTGAATTGGTTCCAATTCATGGCGAGCTTATGCTGCCCGTTCCTGCACCCTCTTGGTGATGGTGGATACGTTTGAGCCCACTGTTGGGGTCACTGTACTCGTAGTCCATCATCCTGGGCACTCCCTTCGTTTTTGCTGAACCTCTGCCAAGTACCATGCCCTCTTCTAGAGACTGGATTTACCTGATGATGTCTTCAGAGTCGGCGAGTTGAAGTAGTGCCATTCTCGCTTTTAAGGAACATCCTGGCTGTCATTCGTCTATGACTAATTTGACCAATCCTTCGGAAGTTTATAGTATTCTCAGTTCTTCACCAGCAGTTAATATGCCCACTCCCTGATTGATAACTATCCCAATCATAGACTTCCTCCCAAGTCCCTGTCAAATACCTGCTCTTTTACTGAGCCCCACCCTTGTCTGTCACTTTATAATGTAATAAGAGAATGTGCCCATCAGCCACATGCCTTTATTGACTCACTCCTGATTCTTCAGCAGATGTTCCTTTTTTTAAGCGGTGTAGACAGTGGTGCAGACATAGTCAAGTATTCTGGACTTGATTTCAAAAATCACAATAGTGATAACAACAAAGAAAGCAACTAACATCTTTCAAACTTGTGTTGAAAGTGCTTGATATATTTTCACTCATTTAATCTTCACATAATCGTTGTTAAACCAAGAAGCAAACCAGTTGCCATCGAATCAATCCGGACTCACGGCGACCTCATGTGCTTCAGAATAGAACTTCACTCCATAGGGACTTTCCTGCTGGTCTTCTTTCAGAAGAAGAGCGAACGCCTTGGTAGGGAGCTATTATTATGCCTGTTTTACAGTCCTCACGTCCCCTGCCCTTGGCCACAGAGCTCAGAACCGGGAAGCCGAGATTCCAATGGGAACTGTTGGATTCCTGTGTGGACACGCTGACTCTCAAGTCCAGGCTGTCCTTCATTTGAGGAGAGAATGTGTCTGATTCATATCTGTCTCGGTTGCAGCTCCAAATTTCACACCTAGAACTGACTCAGGAAACATCTGCATCAAGAACGAATGAAGAAAACAATAGGGATAAAGCGAAATAGCTCTTCTTCGGTTATTGGCAACCCCGACCCATGAAACCAAGACCTTTTCTTTCCTGTGCGTTAAAGGAGCCGGCCCATTTCCTGAGTCCTGAGTAGCGTTGCGGTGTTTTTTCTGTTATCAAGTTTGTCCAGTGATAATGTGAACCCGTAACAAGCCTGAGAAAGTGCCTCTACTTCTCATGCTTAACATTTAAACAATTTTAAACAAAACTCGAGGAGAAGCATGGGGCTTTCAGCATTTGTTTTAGCAGTGAAAAAAAATCATGAAACAAATTCCCCCAAGAAAGTCACTTACTTCTTTTCTTTTTTTTTAAATGGAGAAATGCTAAGAATTTAGGAATGCAGACACAGATGAAATTACAATGCCAACAAAAATGCTCAGTCTGATGAGATTTCCTGTGGTATAAGTTTGTTTAAAAAAAAAATCCTGTCAATTCATTTTCTTGTTTGTGTTGGCAGAGAGGGTTTTGTGAAGTAACTAATTTCTACTTCTTCGTGTTTCATCCTGTAGGTATTGCTGGGCAGGTGTCCATAGATGCCAATGGGGACCGGTATGGGGATTTCTCTGTGATCGCCATGACAGATACGGAGGCAGGCACCCAGGAGGTAAGCCCCTGGGACTTTGGCACCAGTTGCTCCTCTTGCTTGCTGAGCTTATTTTTCCCGGCACCAAAGAACCTGCCCCAAAGCCGCTTCCATATAAAATCAGGGGGCAAAGACTGGAGGGTCCCCACAGGGGAAGCTCACTCTTGGGTGAAGTTATCGGGGAAGCCTTCAGGGAATTTGTCCTGTGTTTATCTTAAATGGAGGAATCCCACCTGTTAAGTGGCCAAGAGTCATAACTTCAGCCCTGATAGGCAAGAGAGGCTCATTAGACAAAGACATGAAGTGATGCGGAATCCCTTCCTTAAATTTTGAGTGTGTGTGTGTGTGTGTGTGTGTGTGTGATTGCGATGAGTCAGAATCAACTCAATGGCAGAAAGTTTGTTTTTGTTAGGTATGAGTGTGTGTTGGGGGCAGATCTTACACATTAGAGGTCTTACACATTGGACATGTGTCAATATTTGTGTTAGTCCAGGTTGACTAGAGAAACAAATCCAGAGACACTCATATGTGTGTAAGAAAGAACTTTATATCACAGAGTAATTATACATTAAGAAAACTTCCCAACCCAGTCTAGATCAAGTCCATAAATCTGATATTACCCCATATGTTGAATCCATAAGTTCCTCTTTAGACTCATGCAGCCATGCAATGCTGCTGAATGCAGGAAGATCATAGGCTAGAGGGTGGAAAGTCTTGTGGATCCAGTGACAGTGGAAACATCTCAGCACTGGCAGCGGTCTCCACATGGCTCATCCAGCTCCAGGGCTGTAATGAAGCTCCATGTGTCTTGTCAGTGGGAAAACGAAGCATGGATTGTCTTGTGTGCCCCGCCTCCAGGGAGCTGTTTATCTCCTTAATGCCTCCAAATGAGGTCATCAAGCTGTGACCTGATTGATAGGCTAAACTCCACCCCTTTTCAAGTTGAGAAGATTATATAACTGCCATAGTTTTTCAAAAGATGACGTTGTTTTAGGAGAGTATCACGAAGAGGAAAGAGTGTCTTGCACACAAAGCTGTCTCTTCAGCACTTACTGGGGTATGAGGCTCAGCCTCAGCTCCCTCAATTGTAACATGGAAGCCATAATCTCTTCTTCACACGATTATTGCGCTCACTCCCTGCCATGGAGTCAATGCTGACCCTTAGCGACCCCCTGTGGGTTCCTGAGACTGTAACTGTTTACGGGACTAGACAGCCCTCCCTCAGAACTGCAGGTGGTTTTGACCTGCTGACCACGTGGATCGCAGCCCAACGTGTAACCACTGTATCCCCAGGGCTCCTTATTGTGAGGACCAGATAAAATGAGCCATAGTAAAGGGCTTTCTAAATCTCTCATGATATATTTGATACACATACATATATGGACTCCTGGTGAATCCTTGGGTGCTAAAGGAAAAGACAAGCTGTGAGACCTGCCCAGGCACTCCGTGAGAAGAACACCTGGCAGTTGGCACATGACAAGCCACATGTAAGGAGCACACACATAGGTGGTATTTGTAAAAGAGTGTCCTTCCTTGATCACTGTTACATAGCTCCCTAGCGCTTGAGCCGTCTGGCCTGTGGTGCTATTGTTCTGGTGCAGCGGTCTGCCAAATCTTGAGATAGAAGAACCAACCCTGTCCCTCACATGAAGTTAAAATTGTTCAAGAGCCATGCATATATTTTTACACACAAATGAAATCACCATTATCTGAAGCATGTCCTGTAAATGACTGGATGGTAGCTTTGTTTTTATTTTTGATTTTACTTCAGAGCCACGTGTACACACTGAAGGGGCCACATGTGGCTCTTGAGCCCCAGTTGCCCACCCCTGTTCTCGTGTGGACTGATGCCTGTGGCAGGACTGGGCATGGCGCCCCTCCGTTACGGAGGGCCCTTTTCTCTCCCATCCACGTGCTTAGCTCCACTGTTGTAGAAGGCAGATAATCCTCGTCATCGCAGGACTGAAGTGAGGACTTAGGGGTCAGTGGGTGTCAAGGGAGACTGAGGAGTGAGTACCTTCCGGAGAGAGAGGCAAGGTGATGCCACAGGCCACTCACAAATGGGAGACAAATCCGGAGAACTCGGGCAGAACAACGCGTCTAGATTAGGATGTAGGGGACTGATAAGTCCAAATCGGTTACTCTTGGCTCATGGGGGTCCCATGTGTGTGAGGATAGGTTGTCTGGGCTTTCTAGGGTTTCTCATTGACTACATTTGGGGTGCACTTTGCCAGCCTTTTCTTGGTGCCTCCGGGTGGACTCAAACCTCTGACCTTTATGGTTAACAACTGAGCATACATTTTTTCAACACCGAGGGCATCCAGGAAGTTGATAAAAGAGTCGCTTTAGCCAAACACTGAAGAATGAACCCTGAACAGAGACATAGGAAAACCTTGGCTTGCAGAAGGGCCATAGAAAGAAACATTGAGCCTCAAACCAGAGCAGAGAACAGTAAAATGATCAGAGAAGAGCATGAGTAGGGTGAAACAGGAAGTTCCTAAAGGATGATCTGTAATGTTTTACTGAAGGACCCCTGGTGGCCCTGGTGCACAGTGGTATAGTTTGGGCTGCTAGCATGCCGTCTGAAACTACCAGCCATTCCGCACGAGAAAGACTGGGCTTTCTACTCCCATAAAGAGAGACCATTTTGAAAACCCCCAGGGTTGGTTCTACCCTGTCCTGTCTGGTGGCTTTGAGTCAACTTGATGGCAGTGAGTTCGGTTTGGTTTGGTTTGGGTGGCAGGGTGGATAATCGAAAGGCCCGGTGTTCAAACCCACCAGCACCTCTGGAGGAGAAAAGACCTAGCAATCTGCTCCCATCAGATGTAATAGCCTAAGAAACCACATGGACAGTCCTACTCTGCCCTACAGGGTCATTTTGAGTTGCCATTGACTCCATGGTGAACGAGAACAATGTTTTACTTATATATATGCTGTGCTAAGTGCGTGGCGAAAGTCGGTACTTTCATTATGTGAAACATGCATACAGAATGGATCCCTCACCCCCTCCCTGATCCCTCACCCCGGAGTACCCTCACTTTTCCTTTCTCACAAACCAGAGGAAGCAACTTGGCCACTCACAAGTGACCGGCCTGGGGGGCAGTGCAGATTCCAGAGCACAAGGGTGAAAGCATGGATTGGGGGGCTCTTGTTTTTGTAGCGGAAATCTCCACTTTCTGCTCAGTTGTAGTGACTGAAGTCGTCCCAAGGAGAAGAGTGGCAGGGCTCAGCCTTCAGAAAGGACCCCAGCCCCTCCCGTGACTCCATTTCCACTCCTGCCCACGGCCTTTGGTTTTCATTTGACCATTTTACTGCCACGGTGGGCAATGCCACGCCAGCCACACCAAGGGAGGCCCCAGATGTCAACGTACAAAGTCTTCAGAATCTCACATCACGAATCAGTGTCTCTAGTCCGGGATCCCCCTCTGACATCTCCTTTCTGCTCTGTGTTCTCTGAAGCACTTCCTGTTTCCTGTCCTGAAGGGAGGATCTGCTGAAAGGAGGCACAGTAATGTGTTTTATAAAGGGCCTCTGGTGTGCTCAGCACACAAAAGGAGGGTGTTTGGGGGGAATAACGGTATTAGGCTGGGGGCTTCCTCTGTCGGAAATGGATAACTTTTCCCTCTTAGTTTGTGTGTTTGTATATACCTTTGTTTTCTTTTTAACTTCTATGTAGGTTATTGGCGATTACTTTGGGAAAGAAGGTCGCTTTGAAATGAGGCCGAATGTCAAATACCCTTGGGGACAGTTAAAGCTGAGTCCAGATGAAACCAGAATTGTGGAGCACACGAACACCTCCCCTTGCAAATCATGTAAGTTTAGGGGCTTCATTTAGTATATATTGCATCATCTATCCTATAGCATTGGTATGATATAAGACACTCCGTGTGCAGGCACAGATTTCCTGTCCTGATGGCAATGAAACAGGTGGAAAATGTTCACAAACAGGCATCACCTTTATCAGACGGAGGCTTACAGATCTCTGGCATTACACATATTTGTTTTTTTTAGTATTTGAGGTTACCACTTTGAGTTAAAAATCAAAATAACGATCTGCTCCAAGCGAACAGATATTCATCTCTCTGAGCAAGTTTCTTTCTGAATTTCAGAGCTTGTGGTCCTCTTCCTGTACTTCAAGATTAAATGTGTTATGTCTGGTATTGTCGGTAGATATGGTTAAGTCAATCGGAGCAAGAGTGACTGTGTGCTATAGAACCAAACCATGCCTGGCCTTGCACCAGCTTCACAATCATTGTTATGCTTGAGCCCACGGTTGCAGCCACTGTGTTAGTCCATCTCATGGGAGTCTTCCTCGGTTCATGCTGACCCTCAGGGATTGGTTCCTCCTGGCAACAGTCCTGCTGCATAATGCTCCTTAAATACCTGAAAATCTACACACGCACCAATTTGAGCCTATTATTTATGATCAGCCTTGTACATAAATACAGAAGCAAGTGAATGGTCTTGCAAAGAACGTACAAATAGAAAGTTATTAGAGAGACCCTTCCATCAGCTCATGAGCAAGCACAAAGCAAATATTCTCCTGTCAAGCCCATTGGCCATTTTTTCCCAAGATACGAATAACCATTATGTTTGGGAGGTCTATTTCAAACTCTAGGGCAGTTACATCTATTTGAGTACCACGGGAAGGAGTATTGTAGAAGTGTGTTATGCACACATTTCTCTGCAGTTACTGCACTCAGATTTGGACCCTTGTTGCCAGATCCTCCTTTAAGTCTTCTTTCAGACTTACTGCCCTGCATGGGTTAGGATTGTTCTGAGGTTTTCCAGTGAGAGAAGACAGACACTAAGGCTAAAGTCTTTATATGCAAATGATCCAGTCTTCATTTTTTATAGAAGAACTGGGACACCCCTGACCTTGATTGTTTCAAATTGTTATTCACATTTTCACAAAGTAGGACATTTTGACATGAAACTCTGGCTTTGGTGAGAGAACATCTGAAAATAGAACCCAAATGAATTTTTCACCAAATCTCCCAGGACTGTGAAGTGTCACCACCCACCTGTGAAAATAAGTACTGGGTCAATCCCATGGCCCATCTACTTGTCTTCTCTTGGGATAAAGTGAAAAAGTTAAACGTGGACTCACCATATGATCCAGGCATTCTGCTTAGAGGTGTCTAGCCCAAAGAACTGAAAGCAGGAATAAAGACAGATATGGTACACCAGTGTTCGCTACAGCACTAATTACAATAGCTAAAAGATGGACACGACTCAAGTATCAGTCAACAGGTGAATGGCTAAACAAACGGGATGTTACAATGGAGTACGGCTCTGCCACAAAGACAAGTGACATCCTGACAGATGTTCCCATGTGGGTGAACCCGGAAAGCATCATGCTGAGCAAACCATTCAGTTACAAAACAGCTAGCACTGTATGATCCCATTTAGAAGAACTATCTAGAAGAGACCTGTTTATTTCTAGATAACAGGGCTGGGAGGAAGCCAGGGTCATGCTACATTTCTGTGAAAGGTGAAGGGAACATTTAACACCACATGATGGGGATTGTTGCCTAACCTGGTGAACATGATGGATGTCGCTGAACTGCACACGGGAAGAAAGGTGAAATGGCAAGTGATTCATTACGTACATCTATATTAAAATGAAAAAAGCATCATGGCTATATTTGGGAAAATCCCTGTCCTGGTTTTCTCCAGTCTTTCTTGACTCAGCTTCTATTCCCATTGTTCTAATTCCCTCACAG